CTTTTATGCCCATATTTGTTGAAGAAACACGAGTTATTTTTCTTGTGGGGTTTCACTATCTGGATTTTGCTGATTACACTTCTGTAGAGTTTGCTATGTTCTTCTGCTTTTTCTGTAAATTGGTAGTTGAATTGTGAGGCTTAATAGAATTCAGGGGATGTGTGTGTGTGTGTGTAAGAGCCAGACAATGTCATTGATTTTATTTTTTCATTAGGATATATGTGATTGTTCTTTGTGAATTGCGTTAACCATTGATACTCAGTTGTACTGAACAAGTCTTGCTTTGTAAAGTATCACTATAAACTCAGGGATTCAGATATTTCTAACATGTTTTGGTTCTTTGCAGATATTATTTTTCCTGATGCTCAAAATGCTCATGATTGGGCAGTGAGCCTCTTTAGGTTGGCTTCTGTGTCATTTTGCCAAGACCCTACTCCTCTTTAGTAGCTTTTTTGTTTTTTGACATAATAAGATTTTCTAGGCTCATCTTAAATATTTTCAATCCCAGACCCTGAATTAATAATTTCTTCAATAAAGTCCTGATTCTTTAAGTAGGAAATAATAGCCTGTGTACTGGGGAGGCTCTGTATTTATTGGATAGGTCAAATTATATTAAGAACTCATAAAAAACATTTCTTATTCACAGTCAGGGCTAAAGAGTTTTTAACTTCTTCATTCTTCCATCTATGTCCCCTTTTCTCTCCATGTTGACTATCCTGGTTCTTAAGTATCTTGTTTTATCATTAGAATATTAGATATTAAATTTCCTTCATCTCATATCACACGCACACATTTTCAGAGTAATGATACTAACGTGACCACCAGTAATGTAGATTACTGAAGACAGCTAAAATTTTATTGCATGTGTTCTTCCATCTCTTCCCCATTCATTTCATAGTTGTAGCATACCTGCCTTGTCAAAGCATAGTGCCTTGGCATGCTGTACCTTCTTATAGCCTTCATTGAGTTGCAGTTCTCCCAGGAAGCAGATACTGAATTCTCACCACCAATTCTGATACTGGTGTCTCTCTATCTCTCTAGTCATTTTGGTTGTATGAAATTCATTCTGTGGTGTAGTGGTTCATACACCTTGGTGTGTGCCAGAATGACCTGGAAAGCTTGTTAATGTGCTGAGTGCTGAGCTTGCCCTGGATTCTCGGCTTAGTACATGCAGGATGGTGCTTGAGATTTGCATTTCTATCAGGTTCCTAAGTAGTGGTGATGTCATAGTCTGATGACCATTCCTGGATTACGGTTGTCTGTGACCTTTAATGCATGGAAGACAGATTGACTACATGCAAAATGTTTGGCTTACAATTTGAGTATCTTAAATATGTTACTCTGTTGTGTTTTAGTATAAAGCATTGTTGTGAAAGTCTGGCAGTTCTGCTTTTCTTTTTTTATAAATGATTTATCATTTTGGCTGGAAATAATTTTAGTAGATTGTTTCTTGGTGTCTTTCTGGGTGTCTTTCACACACTTTCCCATATGTGTGACATGCTTTCTAACAAACAGTGTTAAGTGATTGTTTTTTTCTTGGTACCTTGGGAGCACCTTTTAAATGTGTTTTGGATCCTCTTTGCCTACTTTCTATATTTGTTCTTTTCTTCTAACCTTTTAAATTTCCTTTTTCATTTATTTTTGACTTTGGAAAATTTCCTTCTTTCATGTTTACTTCTTATCTTTGTTATCTATAGTATTTATTCAGTTTTATGTTCCTTCTAGTCTTTCATTCTGAGATAATTTTTTTCTTTAGTTTCTGATTTTGAATTCTCCCAGTTCATTTCTGATCTCTAAGTCCATTTTGGTTTCTTAATTATTTTTAGCTTGTCTTGAAATTTTAAGGTAAAGTTTTCATGTTTATGGAGATAATATGCTTCTGTTATCTGTAGAGATGTTATTGTGCTTATTCTCCTTTTTCTTATCATAACTTTGTACAGGATTTGACCTTGATCTTTTTCTATAACTCATTTATATGGGAAATTAGTTTTTCTGAACTTTTAGAAGTATGGGTTCAGAATAGCTTTATAACTTCATAGTTTTAGTAGTGTTTTTCATTTTTTAAACTCTAAGTATTATTACAAACAATTCACTGATTGAAGTGTACAGTTTGAATTGTGGTAATTTTACAGCTTTGTAATTATCACACTGCAGGTCTGGAACCAAATTTTCACTCTAAGTCTCTCTTGTGGCCTTTGCAGTTGGTCCTTTCACGTCCAGCCAAGCAGTTATTAATTTTCCATCAGTAAAGTTTTGCCTTTTCTAGAACTTTAATCCATGGAGCCTTGCAGTATATAGTAATATTTAGTGAGATATTTTGGCTTGATTTCTTTCACTTAGTGTAGTGTTTTTGAGATTTATCCTTTTTGTTGCATATTGTCAAGCTTTCAAAAACACAGCAGCTCTTTTTCTCCTGGCTTTCTTCTGTAGTGCTTGTGTCTTTTTTTACTTTGACTGTTATCCTTTCCTACTCTCTTTGGATTCTGTTCATGGGAGTTTCTCCTCAGTATAAAATTTGTCTTGAATGACTGCTTTACATAGTTGGTTTTGTGAGCTCACAGGGCCTTGAGTTCTCAAGCCCCTTTGGGCTTATTGTGGATACCTTGTATTCACTGTTAATCAGGGATACAGCCCTCACCCTGGTTCCAGCTACTCAAGATATCTTAGCCCACTTTACAGTGAGTACCTGGTTGCTACTTGGTGGTGTTCCTGCTTGTAGATATCTTGTTGTGTCTGTTTGCTGCTTCTCACATGGATGCTCATAGCTCATGTGTCCTGTCATTTGTCATTCATCCCACCCACTTGCATTTTGTGGTCTTAGGGATTTTTTGAGATGCAGTTATGTCGGAGTACATCTTATCTGTGGGCTTTGGTTTGGCTTTTCAATTTTATGTTTTTATGGCAGGATTTGGGGAGACTCAAAAACTATGTTTTTTGGATTTAAAAAAACAGCAATTATTTTTATAAAAGTATTATATTAAGGAAAATAGAAGAACATTAAAAATACTTGTTAGCTGTGTACAGTGATACATTTATTTCTACTTATGGTTTTTGGGGACAATATGTTTCTTTTGTGATGGGGCATAGTCATTTGTGTTTCCTTCTGTATTTTTTGTATCTTTTACAGATGTCTGCTACATCATTGCCCATTGTCTTAGACTGTAAATTAAGCATGGGAACCTGATTGATGTGTGACACATGCCCATGAGATTTTACTCTTGCTAACTTTTTTTTTTTTATGAAGTAGGAACAATTATAAATAAACTATAGATTTTTCTGTCGTAAATCTTTGTTTCAGAAGTTTGACCTAGTTGTTTAGCAGAATAGGTAATGAAATTTCACCATTGTTTATTTATAAAAAGGCATTGTAGTCTTCTTGTTCCGTAAGAAAAATCAAATGGTAGAATGAAGCATACTTTAGTTTAGTGCTGGAGGTTTTTTTGAGTTTTTCTTCAGTTTTGTGTGAGACCAAGGAAGGATCCTATGGTGGGAGCCAAAGAAAAAATCTGAGAAGCTTTCTAGATTATCCTAACTCATGTATTCATAGTATAGCTTTATTTTGACAAGCAGTTTTTATATTCCTAGGTCATTAGATATGCATATGTCAATGTATATGAGATAAGCTTCCAAACAAATTCTCTCTGCTTTGGAACACACTATGTAAACACCCTTTCCTGTCTTTTACTGGTTTCCATTATCTCACCATCCCTGATAGGCCAGTAGTTCCTTAACTTTAGTATGCAGCAGAGTACCCCCAGTGCTGAACTCCACCCAGCACTAGTTTCTGCTTCAGATAAAGACAAGAGAGAAATGGAACACGTCTAAGAGTGAGCGCATCAAGGACTTGTACAGCTGCCTTGGAGGAAATCACATGTTGGATAGAAAAGATATGAGTAGAGAAATATGCTGTCTTTAACAATGAGGTATCTCTATTTGTTAAGATGTTATTTCTCTCTAAATTGATTAATTACATATCCAACCAAAATTCCAATAAGTTTCTTGTGAAACTGGACAAAGAGGAGTCTCACATTTACCAAGAAAATCAAAGGCCTGAGAGTAGCCGAATTGGTCTTGGAGAATGAAAGTCTTTGCCACCTGGATGTTGATGACACACCCTGGAAATATGACACTGTGGCACTTATACAGAGATAAGCATAAAGGTTAGTGGAATAAGGAGGAGAAGCTAGAAACATACAGAAATGTGATGCGCAGTTGAGGGAACAGAAATCACGAGGGCAAGATGGTGTGTTCTGTAAGTGGTGTTCTGATCATCAGTTGGTAATCATATGGAAAATGAACTTGTATTTCTAACTTCATACCATCCATAAAGGTAAGTTCAGGTGAATACATTCATAAGCAAATCTTAAAAATTTGCCAGAAAATATAAGAAATAATAGACTACTTAGTTAAAATTTAAGAAGTTAAATTTATAATGTATAATTTATAATGTATAATTTATAATGTATAAATGTATATATATATTATATATATTATATATTAATGTATAAATTTTCGATATAATATAACATTGAGTACAAAAGCAAGTTGTATAGGTATAATGAATTAAAGGCATGAAATGATACAATATACCATAAAATATAAAAACATTCATGGTAATATACATCAAATTCAAATAGTGTTGGCTTCTAAAAATTATAGATTTAAATGTAATTTGGGGAATAAATGCAGCTATGGTTGTATCTGTAATATTTTATTTTTAAGTAAGAATGTTTTAAACATGTAGCAATGTTAACTCCCAGTGAATATCAACCAATAAAATGTTTGAATAAATTGTGGCATTTATAGACTATGAAATATTTTTCAGTCATTAAAAAGAATGAGTTGTAGCTAAGTCACTTTCATGGAAGGATTTTAAAGAACTATTGCTAAGTGAAGAGAACTAGATACAGAAAGGTGTATAATAAAGTTACCCCTTTTTATATACAGATAGTTCAAGAAAATGAATAATTATCTTTGGAATTTTCCTTTTTTTCTCTCAGTGTGCGGGATGACAGAATTCGAGTCGAAAGGATGGATAATGCTTATTTTGAATATAGCCATGCTTTCCAGGCGGTTACAGAGTTCTATGCAAAAGATGTGGCTGACATCAAAGGTAAATATTTTCCCCAGATGTCCTCAGAATCTGACTGAGATGTGGGTAGAGGTGTGAGTGTGACTCTCAGTTGAATAACAGCTCACTGCTGCCGCACTTAGGCGCCACTGCAGCTTCTTCCCTGTTCTGAGTCACTCGATGGTTTTATTGGATATATTTATTGGAAGGGAAGGAGTTACTGGCCAACTTTCTGTTTTGCTTACTTTAAAGATGGCCCATTAGTATTCTCATGCTTTCACAGAATGTTTGGATCAATATTCTGATGAAGGCTGGGTTTGAAAGATTTGTTGTCAGAATTAATGCTAGGATGCTGGTGATACAGGATCTTACTCTAGGTCACTGCTCTGTGGAATTGACATTCCAACAGTCAGGTGCTAGGGCTTGTCTTAGCCCCTCCTTCCTGCCAGTCTAGCTCATGTGAGGCTATGAGTCATGGACAGTGAGGTGACTAGACAGTTTTCATCGTGGCATAAACATGGCTTCACCCTGGTCCTCTTTAGACCCCATATAGATGAAATCTGTCCTTGACCAAACACAACACTGAGCTTTGTCACCAACACCCCTCACTACTGCATTTAGGCATCAGGGTGTTCCTTCTCATCTCAGGACGCCTTGCTTCAGTGGAGTCGCGTGTCTAAGAGTGATTCCTGCCTCTCACACCAGCCTCTCCCACCAGCCGCTCCCGGGGTCTTCTCGTGCCTACCAAAGACAGGACTGAACCACTCACCTCCCATGGTGCATTTTTGTGTCAGACTCAAATGAAGGAAATGGGCTAGAAAACACACTTGCCAGCAGGGCTCATATCCTTCATTGTGGGCCAGTCTTCACAGCAGTCTTTGCAGTGGTCCCTGAGTGGCAGCTTCTGTGTGAGGGAAGGAGACACCTATCAGGTGGTGCCAGAGCAAGAGCTAGTGTCTCTTCCAAGCTCTCTGCAGAGAATGTGCTGTGTTGTGTCAGTCATGCACCCAGGAAGGCCAAGACTGCAGTCATGAGTTCAGGAGTTTACAGTCTTCCAGTCTGGATGTCATATACTGACTTGGGTCATTTTCTCCTGACACATTGGTACTCCACCTTCATCCAGTTTCCAGGGAAACAAAGTTAGAAAGTTGAAAGAAAATCACATTCTCCATGGAAGGAGAAAGGGTGGAGTTAGCACTTTATTTACACTCTGGTTTTATAAAAATCTGTAGTTAAGATTAGTAAGATATTTTGTATTATTGATTTGTATAGGATATCTTGTAATACTTCTTTTAATTTTTAAAAGTAATAAATGCTTATTGCAAAAAGTTAAACAGCACAGATGTATATAAAGAAAAACGTAAAAGTTTCTACCCTCAGACTTGTCCCTGCTCTACTATGCTTATGTTGAGGAATGACTGTTAGCGAATTGGCACATGTCTTTGTGTACAAATCCACACGTACATGATAGGCACATATGGGTCTCTGTATTCGTTGGATGTAATTTGGATGTTTTCCCTCAGCTCGTTTTTATTGAATGCCTGTTTTATGCCAGTGGGCATCCAGTAAGGAGCAAGACAGACAAGACCCTATTCCTGCAGAGTTGGCATCGTCCTTACTGAGAGCTGGACAGTGAGGTGGGCAAGTGTTAGAAGCTGACAGATGTGATGAAGATAACAGGGCAGGGGTGGGCTGAACTTCCTAGGAGGATGGCAGAGGGAACCCTCGCTGAGAAGGTAGACTTGGACAGAGATGTGAAGAGATGGGAGGAATCAGGGGAAAGATATGCAGGCATGTGAGGGAACAGCAGGTACAAAGTATCTTCAGACGGGAGGTGCCCAGGCAGTGAAGGATGTCACTGGTAGAGTGTCTGCGCTGAACAGTAGCTGAGGCGAGCTCACAATAAAGAGGAGGTGACAGGCAGGTTGTGCAGGGACTCGTAGGGCACCATCAGGGCTTCACTTCTACTCTTTCTGTGAGTTAGGGGATGTCAGAGGGTTTTGAGCAGAGTAGTCTGATGATCTGATGTGCATTTTAGAGAGAATTCCTCTGGCTACTCGGTTAAGAACAACTGTGGAACAGGAAACAGGGCGGAAAGCTCTTGCAACGTTTGTGTGGGAGGTGTGAGTGATCACACAACTGCCTTCACTAGCAGTGTGTTGTGGGGGCCTTCTACATCATCAGGGAACTGGAAATTCTTCCTTGTAGCAGGTACATTATCTGGATTTATCAAAGTCCCCTGAACTGTACTCTGTTGTTTATTAGGATGTCTAGTTTTTTGCTATCACAAAAGATTTTCACCTCGCCTTCTTGTGTGCATAGCCTTGATTTGCAGTTTGGAGTGTCTCTGATCAAAGGAATGCTCATTTTACATTTTGAACAAAGACCATCAGAAAATGCCCCCTTTCCATGTCCTAGGCATTACATTTTTGCAAAGAGCAATTTAGGAAATATTAAGTTCTTATTTCAATAATTATAAAATAATATTACTTAAGTTTTGTTTCTAATCATGGTAATAGTGTTAGTGAGGGTATATGTTCTATGTTTCAGGTTCTCAAATGATTTCTGGCATCGTTAGCTTGGAGAAGCCAGTGATTTGTGCTTTGGCTGCCATAATAAGATACCTCAAAGAGTTTAACTTGGATAGGATGCTCTCCAAACCCGAGTAAGTGACTTCTCAAAAACTAAACAAAGGGAGGTTATATTAAGAATACTTCTTCAGTTGAGGGAAACTGCCAGGGGAGGAAGGGGCATACCTCCTCAACAAGGGTACCTGCATAATGAATGTTTGTATACCTAACCCTGAATTATACCTCACATCTTTAAAATTAAAAAATTAAAAAATAAACACCACTTCTTAATTTGAATTTGGTAAGCACTGTACTTAGAGAAGTTTACCTGTTGTTGATAGAATTCTGTATTAGGGTACAAGAATGAACTGTTTGGTAATCTTGCTGAGGAATATTAAAAATATTGATTGATTAAACATTTTGATAGAATTCTGTCAAATTGTATTCATGATAGCTACATGATATATTAATGTTAGCTACAAAACTGCTTTATACTAACTGGATTTAGGAGAAGTATTATAAAGCATTCATAAAATTTTACTACCTTTCTTATTCTTGGTTTTAGTTCCAATATTATAGACCATAAAATTGGAAATAAAGGGGCCAGCCACTAACACAGACAGCTTTTTTTCTAGAGTGGTTAACTTTGAAAATTTAAAAACTGACAATTGGCATTCTAGGAAAATACTAGATTAATAACCAATGGTTAAAAAAAAAGTAGGAGGGTAATTTAATTTTCTTGCCTTTCTCTATTCCACTCTCACCAGCCTTTGGCCTGTCAAGCATCACCCTCCATAAGCTGACCCTGGATGAGGAAGCTCCTTCCCATCCTATATGGTGGAATGGTGAATCAGAGCTATCTCAGTAGAGTATGTGTTAACTGGACCACAAAGAGGTGGTAGTGGCTCGAGGTGCTGGAGAGAGTGAAAGAAGGGCCGGTTCCTTGGGATTCTTTCATAATGTCTTTGGTGTGTGTTCTCGTATGTGGCATTTGGACTAGAACAGAATATCACTGCTCTGAAGCAATTTTGTCCCAGGCAATCTAGTGCCCATCGGGATTCATTGTGTTATGCAATGTGATGTTATACAGCAGTGAAAATGAATGAACTAGAGCTACATGACCAAGTTTAGAAGTTTCTTTGACAGTAGATTAAGCCAAAAATCAAGTTGATGACAGACATAGCACACGTCATTATATGAATTTAGAAACATGTGAAGCAGCACTATGTACTGCTTAAGAATATATACGTATCTAGGCAAGATATAGAGATGTTCATGGGAATGCTGAACATCAAATCCAGAAGAGGTTTCCTTCTAGTGGGGTGGAGGCAAGGCAGTGAATGTTAGGGTGGGATGGCAGAGTGTGGTTCTGGCCACTGTTTTATTTTTTAACATGGGCATTACATTAGTCTATATATGTTGTAGGGTGGCTAAAACATTTTATTAAAAAAAGTAGCAGACTGGCACTATCCCCTATTGCATTCTACTTTAAGCCCCAAAATAGACATATTGAAGAGCTCTGTCTGTAGGGCTGGCTGTGTTGAATCCTCATAACAGAAGGGTGACCAGCTCCCTACCATTTGACTTGTCCAAGATAGCGAGCCCCTAACTAAGTAGGTAGAACTCATGATCGGTAGCTTGCCCATTAGAACTTACGTTTCTGTCCCTACATCACCAAGCAAAGAAGTATTAACATTGGAATGAGGACACTAACTTTTTAAAGAAATCAAACATCAATATATTTAGAAGTAGATGAATTTGGACCTGAAAAGATTTGTGTCCTCTAATTTAATTTGAAGTAAAAAGAATATTAAACAATGAAACATAAAATGTCTATGTGTACTGCAACTAAAATAGCTCATTTGAAAATGACCTGAAAGTTAACCTCTTGATAATCTTGATAATTAAGTGAAGCTGAACTTTTCTTTCTTATATTTGATGATGGTTTTTCAGGATGGTTGGGACATTGGCTCTTTTGGTGACTGGTGTGTGGCAACTCCATAGAGCCATGGATAAAAAAAAAAGCATCCCAAAGTAATAGGCTCTTACTTTGTACATATTTCTAGCACCTGATGGGCAGTCAGTAAATATAGGACTAGTAAAATGAAGGAAAGAATTCCTCATCCAGGGAAGGGCCACTTATTGGAAATTGCCAAAATGTTAGAAAACAGATTTATGAATAAAGGTGTTGATCAAACTAGTACTCTTTTTTTTTTTTTTTTTTTAATGAAATGTGAGTAATGTTTATGGTGGCATATAACTTGGCTCTGAAGATAATTCCAAGAGAGTAATTCCATACTTCTTATATTTTGGAAAAAGAATATTGTCTCTTAAGGTGGTTACTTTGGAAAAAATGAATATTCTCCTTGTGAATGAAAACTTCACTTATATTACTTTATAATCATACCTTATGCTGCTGAACTTTTGAGCTTTTACTTTCAGAGCTGTGTTATGAGGGGGAGGATAAATTTCACTTTAATTGCCTTTGTTAGCAAATGCTTTCCCCAGAATTGCTATATATTTCATAAAAGTCATGATATGCATTTATTTAAAGGTCTCTGTGCCTTTACAGTGGAATTTTTTTATTAAAGAATAAAATAAGAATGAATTTAACAAAAGAAGTATAAAACCCATACTCTGAAAGCTACAAAGTGTTATTGAGAGAAATGAAAGAAGACCTAAATACATGGACAGCCATCCCAGGTCTATGGATTAGAAGACTTATTCTTGTTAAGATGCAGAATTCTCTAGATTGATCTATAAATTCAGTGTAATTTGTGCCAAAATGCCAGTAGGTTTCTTTGCAGAAATTGACAAGTTGGTTCTAAAATGCATATGAAAATTCAAAGAACCCAAAATAGCCATAACAAACTTGAAAAGGAACAGTGGGAGTACTGACACTTCTGTTTCGAAACTTACTGCACAGCAAGTAATCAAGAAAGTGTGGAACTGGAGAAAAGCAGGTGTGCTGAGTAGATTTGAGAGTCCAGAGAGAAACCTGTGCATCTCCAAGCAGAAATGAAAGTCCAGAGATAAACTTGTGCATATATGGGCATAATTGACAGTCTGGGGATAAACCTATGCATTTGGGCAGAATTGAGAGTCCAGATATTAACCTGTATAATTATGAGCAAAATTGAGAGTCCAGATATAAGCCTGTGCATCTGTGGGCAGCATTAAGAGTCCAGAAATAAGCCAGTGCATCTACGACCAGAATTGAGAGTGTGGAGATAAACCTGTGCATCTGTGGGCTGAATTGAGAGTCCAGAGATAAACCTGTGCATTTTGGGACAGAATTGAGAGCCCAGAGATAGACCTGTGTATCCACGAGTAGAATCGAGAGTCCAGAGATAAACCTGTGCATCTACAGGCAGCATTGAGAATCCAGAGATAAGCTAGTGTGCATCTATGGGCAGAATTGAGAGTGTGGAGATAAACCTGTACATTTACGGGCAGAATTGAGAGTCCAGAGGTAAACCTGTCCATCCATGGGCAGAATTGACAATCCGGAGTTAAACCTTGCATCTGCAGGCAGAATCTAGAGTCCAGAAAATACTTGTGCATCTTCGGGCAGAATTGAGAGTCCAGAGATAGACCTGTGCATTTACGGGCAGATTGAGAGTCCTGAGATAAATCTGTGCCTCCATGAGCAGAATTGAGAGTCTATAGATAAACCTGTGCATCTACGCACGGATTGAGAATCCAGAGGTAAACCTGTGCATGTATGAGTAGACAAGTGAAATTGAGATTCCAGAGATAAACCTGTGACTCTACAGGCAGAATCGAGAGTCTAGAGATAAACCTATGTGTCTGCACATAGAATCGAGAGTCCAGAGATAAACCTGTGCATGTATGAGTAGACGAGCAGTATTGATAGTCCAGAGATAGATCTGTGCATTTGTGGGCAGAATCGAGAATCTGGAGCGAAAACTGTGCACCTATGGACAGAATTCAGAGGCCAGAGAGAAACCAGTGCATCTACAGTTCAGAGATAAACCTGTGCATCCACAGGCAGAGTTGAGAGTCTGGAGACAATTGTTTATCTGTGGGCAGTTGATTACTGACATGGGTATTTATACAATTTAGAAAGAACAATTTTTGTTTTTTAACAAATGACACCAGGGCAACTGGCTATGCATTTACCTTTCCCTATGTCCTGTTTGAGTTTGGAACCTAACTCAAAATAGACCTAAGACCTAACATAAGAGCTAAAACTATTATACTCTTAGGAGAAAAAAGAAAAAAAAACAGGTGTAAACCTTTATAATCTTGGATTAAGCAATGTTTTCCTACTTACGATTCCCAAAGCACAAGTGACAGAAGAAAAAAAAATAAATATATTGAACTTCATCAAAATTAAAAGCTTTTGTTGTTCAAAGAATCAAGAAAATGAATACACAACCTGCTGAATAGAATTTTTGCAAATCATCTATCCAGTAAGTGATTTGTATCTAGCATTTATTTTTTTAAAACTTCATACAAATCAGTTATAAAATGATAATTACAAAATGGACAAAGGATTTAAATAGACATTTCTCCAAAGAAAGATATGCATATGACTAGTAAGCACATGAAAAGATGCTCAACATCATTAGACATCAAGTAAATTCAGATCAAAGGCACAATGAACATACCTACTAGGATGGCTATAACTGAAAAAAGAAAAAAAGACTAGTATTGGCTTGGATCTAGGCAAGTTAGAACCCTCATACATTGCTAGTGGAGTGTAAAATGGTAAAGCAGTTTTGGGAAATAGTTTGCCAGTACCTCATAATGTTTACCTTATGATCCAGCAATTCTACTAGATGCATACTTGAAACAGTGCAAGCATATTTTCACACAAACACACAATGTTACCAGCATTATTCATAATAGCCGAAATGTGAAAACAGCCCCATTGTCCATCAACTGGACATATAAAAATGGATATATAAAATGTGTTATATGCGTACAACACAATATTCTTCAAACATAAAAAGGAATGAAGTACTGATACATGCTGCAACAAGGGTGGACCTTGAAGACATAATGTTAAGTGAAAGACACCGGTCATAGGAGGTTATGTAGTGTGCAATTCCATTTATATGAAATGTCC